GGGAGTCATTCCACACTTTGGACACACCAAAAGACGCACACAAGAGAAAAACCTTATAAATGTAACGATTGTGAGAAATGTTTTGCTCTAAAGAAAAGTCTTTTTCTACATCAGATAATCCACACAGGGGAGAAACCCTATCAGTGCATCGAGTGTGGAAATTTTTTTCGTTCAATATCAAACCTCGGAAAGCATAAGAAAATTCATAGAGGGGAAAAAAAATACAAATGTTTAGACTGTGGGAGAGCATTTATTAATTCATCTCATCTTAGAAGTCACTGGCAAGTCCATATAGGAGAGAAGCCCCATAAATGCTCAGAGTGCGATAAATGTTTTTCTAGGAGATATAGCCTTTTGTTACATCAGAGAACACACAGTGGAGAGAAACCATATAAATGTCCGGAGTGTGGAAGATGTTACGCCCAAAGAACAAGCCTAACTCGACATAAGAGACTTCACACCGGAGACAGGCCCTATCAGTGCCCAGAATGTGACAAGCGATTTCTGGTGTCTGCTGAACTCCGGATACATCAGAGAATCCACACAGGAGAGAAGCCCTATAAATGTGTGGAGTGTGGGAGATGCTTTTCCCAAAAACAACACCTTGGAAGTCATCAAAAGGTCCATAAAAGAAGGAAGCCATAAAGACTCCTAAAGTGTAGAAATGTTTTGCTTAAAAGGGAGATATCAGAAAACTCAATTGGGAAAAGGCCTTACGCCCTGATGGTGGACCAGTTTTTTATAGTTGTTCAGCCCTTAGAAGTCATGTAAGAGTTCCTAAAGAGGGGTGGGGAGGCGAATTAGAAACTCTTAGATCATGAGAGAGCATTTTTTTGTCATTCATCTCTTAAAAATCATACTCTAATCCAGGGGTATCAAACTCGCAACGTCACGTGATCTTTCATGACGTGTTGTGACTTTTTTGCCATTGCCGGCAATGGGGTGTGTGCAGTTTTGCTATGATGCATCTGGTTCGTGGACTGGCAGTTTGACACCCCTGCTCTGATCCACATAGGAAAGATGCAGCATAAATATTTGGAGTGTGATGTATGTTTAGCCTGAAAAAATACTCTTTTTCAGCATCAGTGAATTCTTACTGGAGAGAAACTTTTATCAGGGCTTAGGATGTGGCAAAGGTTTTCATCTGATAATCAGATCTTCAGATGCACAATGAAAAATCCACACAGAAGAAAAACCTCGACAAGTGTGTAGCGTGAGAAAACTTGCCAATTGGAACATCTTGCCTCCTGGAGTTTGTCCGTTTGAAATTGTCTCCTTGGAAATTTTGTTGCCAACTTAAATTTTTTATAATTTTTAAAACAAATTTAATTTTAAGAAGTGAATATGAAAGTCTAATGTGAGTGTGAAAATCTAATGTGAAATTCTCCGGAATCATATAAGAGGGTTGGACTAGAAGACTACAACTCTTGTTATTCTGTTATAGGTCCCTTGTAGCTCTGTGATTCTAAGAATATATATTCTTATATATACAGGTAGTCCTCGACTTACAACTACAATTGAGCCCAAAATTTCTGTTGTTAAGTGAGACATTTGTTAAGTGAGTTTTGCCCCATTTTACGACCTTTTTTGCCACAGTTGCCGAGTGAATCACTGCAGTTGATAAGTTAGTCCCGCGGTTGTTAAGTGAATCTGGCTTCTCCCATTGACTTTGCATGTCAGAAGGAAGGCTGCAAAAGGGGATCATGGGACACAGCAACGGTCATAAGTAGGAGCCGGTTGCCAAGCATCTGAGTTTTGATCACATGACCATGGGGATGCTGTAAAGGTGGTAACTGTGAAAAAAGGTCATAAATCAACTTTTTTTCAGTGCCGTTGTAACTTTGAACGGTCACTAAATGAACTGTTGTAAGTCAAGGACTCCCTGTACAAGCATAGAATATGTATCCTAGAGCGCAGCGGATGGAAACCCGGAAGTAAGAAGGGCTTTGATTATAATGTTATGGTCGTTTTGAAAGACCTTTTGGAAGAAATCATAATATTAATGGAAAAATTAACGGATTTTAGTGCATTAGCTGGTTTTAAAATCAATGGTGAATAGACAAAGACGTTCACCAAAATATGAAAATGGAAGACCAAAAAGAATTGATGGGAAAAGCGATTTAAAAGAAAAGTAAGACATTTGGGTATTCTTACAAAGAACACAAATTCTATGTCAAAATAATTATGACAAGGCATGGAGTGAAATCAGGAAGGATTTGTTAAGATGGAAAAACAATTACAATTGTCGTTGGGTAGAATTTATATAATTAAAAATAACTATATTACCTAGAGACTGATGTATTTTAAACAATATCTATTTGGACAATGAGTGCACTACTAAAGAAATGGCAGGAGTGTGTGTGTGTGTGTGTGTGTGTGTGTGTGTGTTAAAATTCAATTTTGCCCCTAGCACATCCTCCACAGCGGGGATCAGTCTTCAGCCATGGTTTCTGGCACTTCTGCCCTTGGTGAAGGGATTCCCGTGGTTGTGTGGATACAACACATGAAGCGAAAAGGATTTTTTTAGGGGGGGAGGGAGGGCAAAGTCTAACTTGGGCAGGTAGGACGATGTGGTGGTAGTTTTGGACCAAAGATGGCCTCAGCCTCCCTTTCAGGAAATGGAATTAACCCCCAATGTCAGGCATTGCTCACCCTGGTGAATATATTTACACCCACCCACTCCCTTAACTGCCAAAGCAACAATAGGAAGCCATTCTAGGAGGAGGCCATGTTAAGTCTGGTGGCCCAAGGAACAATGTTATAGGTTATACGCTCTGCATCATTAGAGCTACCTGGCACATACAAATCCTATGAGGGGAGGTGATCTATAGCAGTAATGGCGAAACTTTTAGAGACCAAGTGCCCAAACTGTAACTCAGTTTATGGCTTATTTATGGCTGGATGCTGGGTGGGTGTGGCCAGAGTGGGCGTGGCCACCTCAATGTTGCTCGTGGGGAGGGACACTTGGGGCTGGGCAGGATTGGGGGAGGTTTCTGGCGGGTGGGGTAGGAGGCAGGAGACTCGTCCTGCGGGGTGAGGTGAGGCAGGGAGCAGGGCAGGGGTGCCATTGCCGCGGGGCAAGGCAAGGTGAGGCAGGGGCCGGGGCAGCTGCTGCCCCACACCATCAGCCCCCCACACAGAGGCCAGCGAGCCGACGGTGTTCGCCAGCAGCCACAGCCTGATGGCCCCTCGACCAGTGCACTCTGTGGCTCCGTAGCCCATACCTATTTCACTCATTAAAATGCAAATCAATTTATAATTTTTTTGAAATGCATTTTCAAACAATCTATTCATGAACTTGTTTAAAAATTACAAATTGGGTCAAACTCCATCTTTGTGGTTTTGTACATTTTGTACCTCGCTAGAGAAAAAACTAGTAAGGTTGCAGAGAAGAGCAACAAAGATGATTAGGGGAAGGGAAGCTAAAACAAGAGGAATGGGTGTAAGAAATGGTTATGTCTAGGGGTAGGCCACCTTGGCTCTTTTATGACTCCTGGACTTCAACTCCCAGAATTCCTGATCCAGGCATGCTGAGGGGAAAGGGAGAGGTTTCCAAGCTGAGCCATGTTGGCTCAGGAATTCTGGGAGCTGAAGTCCACAAGTCATAAAAGAGCCAAGGTTGCCTAACCCTGGTCTAGTCGAAGGAGGAGAAGGACTAGGGGTGACAGGATGACAGTCTTCCAATATTTCAGATGTTTTCAAAAAGAAGAGGGAGACAAACTATTTTCCAAAGCAACTGAAGGCTGAAGAAGAAGCAATGGCTGGAAACTAATCAGAGATGCAGCTCTAAGGAGAATTTCCTCACATTTAGAACAATTAATCAGTG